ACGACGCAGTTTTTGGGCGGCGAGCTTACCCCTGAGCCGCGGGTAGGCTTTAGATAGCGCGGTTTAACGATCCAGTGAGCGTGGATGCAGGCGACATTTTATCGTTGCCTATGCTCATCCACGCGCGGTTCGGACAGATGCTCTTCCGAGGGGAGAGAACCAAGCACGCGCCCGCGGTCCTGGATTAAAGCGGTTGTGAAGCGGTTTCACTGAAACAAGCACCACACTCTCTTAAAATCAATATGCCCGAGGAGTAATTAAACACAATTTTTCTCCCGAAAAGATCCATAGACATCATTGAATAGCCGTTACTGAGCGGTAAACCATGATGAAAATCCTTGGCGAGCGAGTAAATAATGCATTACACAGCAGCGATAAGCAAATTTGAGGACATACTCGTAAATCTGCTTCATTATATATGTTGACCTGTCGGGACGCCCCCGATCGTTCAGGAGCTCACCGCACTGGTCGTGGGTTCTTCTCGTTCGCTCGCAGGTCATCGCACTGTGGATTACAGCCGCTTCGTTGACCTGCCGTGGCACCCCCGATCGCTGGACCGCTCAGTTGCCGTCCCTATTGCACTTGGGCTACCCATTTTATCGAATGGCCCACGCTATTGAAGGGACCTACATGTCATTCGGTAGAGGCACTCTCCGCCATTCCGGGGGCCTGCATATTGGTCTTGGGCTCTTCCGACGAGGTCAGGATCTTATTCAGTCACCGCAAGTCCGACATATCGGAAGTGCTGACTATACGGAATATACGGAAGTACTGGCTATACTGGCATATACGGAAGTGCTACGCCCGTTGGTGAGCACAGTCCTGGCTGGATTGTCTTCCACGCATGTTCGAGATCTACACAATGACGGTTTCTCTTGGAGCCTCAGCCGTAGGGAGTAGCAGGCGCACATGTCCGGATGAATTCTTACATGTACTCGAAATAATAATACGCGTCAGCCACCTCATTTATGCCATTCCGTTGCTTATTGAACTTGTGCCACTCGTCATGCTTAGGCATGACGGTCTTAGCGCACTTTGAATGCCAGCAAATTTTGCACCACTTCATTGCATTTACAACCAAAACAAACCCTGCATCAGTCATGAGCCATCAGCTGATATATCTACTTCAGGCTAGCCGTCGAAACCCCGGTATCAAGCGTCGTGCTTAATTTCGATGGTAATTTATGGGCAAATGTACCACATCTTGTACCTTCTCCGAAGTGATTAACCATAAAATGGCAGAATCTACCACGAGCTGGAGAAAGTATTCGCACACATTCACGTACATACTGAAGTACCGATAATATTTTGACGGAGAGGGACTGAAACTAGAGAAGCCTTCAATGATGTTGCGTGCCCACCGCCCCCCCCCCCCCTTCCCCACCGCTCGATGAAATCCTGGTTCCAGCACTGGAGGAACAACGCCCTTTTAATTCTAAACACCCCGGGACATTATCCGTTTCACCTAAGAATGCGTCGCTCATTTTTAAAGTTTTAGTGCAACTACATGTCTCACATCGAAGTGTCTTTTTATGGGGCGCATCAAATGAATCAGATGTGACCATTAGAGCAGAGTTTAGCCGTTGTAATATTTGTTGTAATATTTGCCATTTGCAACGACTGTACTCACCACATGAAACATACTGAGGCTCCCAAGTGCCAGCGACACAAAAGCTTTTTTAGCACACGATAGTTTTCCACGGGATGTCACCATTGTGAAACACAACTAGTCGTTTACTTTATCGTACGCATCAGTCAAATAAGGAAATTATGCGTAGCATTACATATAATTCGCATTTTTATTTGCCTTTATCAGGCCGTGTCGTTAGATTATCTTATTGTACAAAAGAAATGATGAAAGACGTTATCGAGAGAGAGAGAGAGAGAGAGAGAGAGAGAGAGAGAGAGAGAGAGAGAGAGAGAGAGAGAGAGAGAGAGAGAGAGAGAGAGAGAAGAGAGAGAGAGAGAGAGAGAGAGAGAGAGAGAAGAGAGAGAGAGAGAGAGAGGAGGAGAGAGAGAGAGAGAGAGAGAGAGAGAGAGAGATGAGAGAGAAGAGAGAGAGAGAGAGAGGAGAGAGAGAGAGAGAGAGAGGAGAGAGAGAGAGAGAGGAGAGCGAGAGAGAGAGGAAGAGAGAGAGGAGAGAAGAGAGAGAGAGAGAGAGAGAGAGAGAGAGAGGAGAGAGAGAGAGAGAGAGAGAGAGAGAGAGGAGAGAGAGAGAGAGGAGAGAGCGAGAGATGAGAGAGAGAGCGAGAGAGAGAGAGAGAGAGAGAGGAGAGGAGAGAGAGAGAGAGAGAGAGAGAGAGAGAGAGAGAGATATCTTATGTGCACGATATAATATATATATATATATATATATATATATATATATATATATATATATATATATATATATATATATATATATGTTAATAGGTGGGGCCCGCCAAGAACATAGGGTCATCCTTTCAAATAGGAAATGCGACACAATGTGCAGGGCTCTGGACGATCGAGTGCGCCCGAGCAGGTTAGCACATCGGGCCCCCATGAAGAGCGTAGGGCCCTCCATTTAAACAGGAAGTACCCAAGATCCAATGTACAGGGTTCTCAAATGATCCAGTGTGCCCGAGCAGGTTAACAAATAGGGCTCCCAAGGAGAGGAGCGTGGGCGCTCCATTCGAACGGGAAGCACCGAAGACCCTATGTAAGTTGCTCCGGAATGATAGAATGTGCTCAAGCAGCTTATCAGAAAGGGCCCGATGAGAGCGCAGAGCCTTCCATTGAAATAAGAAGTACTCATAATCCAGTACGGAGGGCCCCGAAAGATGGAGTATATCCGAGCAGATCATCAGGTGACCCAGGCAGGAGTGTGTGGCTCTAAATTCAAACACTGAGACCCAATATATAGGGTCCCTGACAAGTGCGTAGAGTCCTCAGTTCAGATAGGAAGTACCCAAGACACAATGTTGAGGGTCACGGATATCCGAGTGTGCCCGAGCAGGTTAACAGATGGGGCCCCAGCCAAGAGTGTAGGGCCTTCCGTTCAAGTACGAAATACCCACGACACGATGTAGAGGGCCCCGAATAATCGAGTGCGCAAGTTAGGGCAGACAGGGCCCCTGAAAAGAGCGGAGGGCCTTCCATTCAAAAAGGGGGTACCCAAAACCAGGTGTAGAGATCCCCACGATCGAATGGGCCCGAGCATCTTATCAGAAGGGGCCCCGAGAAGAGCGTAAGGCCCTCTGTTTCAATGAGAAGTACACAAAGCCCGATGACGACGGCACCCGACAAATGGGGTGTACCCGAACAGGTTATCGGATGACCCCGATAGGAGCAGAGGACTCCAAAATTCAAACATCAAGAACCAATGGCAGGGCCCCCCGAGCAATCCAGTGTGGCGAAGGAGACGAACAGAGGGGCCCCCGACAAGTGTGTAGAGCCCCATTCAAATAACACGTGCCCAAGGCCCAATGTAGAGGGCCCCCAAAGGATTGAATGTGGCCGAGCAGGTCATCAGATAGACCCCAAAGGAGCGTACGGCCCCTCATTCAGAAAAGAAGTATCCAAGGCCCAATGTGAAGGGTCCCCGAACGCCTGAATGTGCCCAAGCAGGCCATCAGATGGGCCCCCGACAAGAGTGACAGATGGGCCCCTCGGAGCCAATGGGCTCCTTCGGGACCCAGGTGGGGGGGGGGGGGGGGCATGGCCCGTGGCTCCCCTCTGCATCCGCCCCTGATTATATTCTTATTGTCAACTTGTCTGTTAACAAAAACCATTTTCGTAGTTACTCTTGGTTGTCCAATGAGATGTTTCATTTGTATGGTCGATGTATGCTTCGCCTGCTCGCCCCCTGGAGGCCACGCGGGCGTTTACTCCTAAGGGTGTAACATTTTCGGCACAAGTTCTGCAACGAGTTAGGAATCCGACGCCAATAATTTGCAATGGCTGGAGGGTCGATAGCTGATAACACTGGCAGATAACGTCGGTAAGAGCCGGCCGCTGGAGATAAATGTTGGTAAGAACCGGCCACCGGAGAACGGACAAATGACGTCAGTGAGGACCGGCCATTGGGGACCAGACAAACAATGTCGGAAGAGCCGGCCGTTGGGGACCAGGCAAATAACGTCGGAAGAGCCGGCCGTTGGGGACCAGGCACATAACGTCGGAAGAACCGGCCGCTGGGGACCAGGCAAATAACGTCGGTAAGAGCCGGCCGCTGGAGATCAATGTCGGTAAGAACCGGCCACCGGAGAACGGACAAATGACATCAGTGAGAACCGGCCGTTGGGAACCAGGCACATAACGTCGGTAAGAGCCTGGCCGTTGGGGACCAGGCAAATAATGCCGGTAAGAGCCGGCCGTTGGGAACCAAGCACATAAGGACCGGCCGTTAGGGACCAGACAAATAACGTCGGTAAGAGCCGGCCGTTGGGGACCAGGCAAATAACGTCCGTAAGAGCCGGCCGTTGAGGACCAGGCAAATAACGTCGGTTAGAACCGGCCGTTGGGGACCCGACAAATAACGTCGGAAAGAGCCGGCCGTTGAGGACCGGGCAAATAACGTCGGTAAGAGCCGGCCGTTAGAGATTTGCGGAGAATCGCAGCGAATAGCAGCCTTGTCGGGGGGAACCCGTCCGAGAACTGCAGCGCATGGAAGCCTCGGTCCCGAGGGTCCTTCGTTTGTAGTGTTTACTCAGGTTCCGTGCAAAAGTGAGGCAGATATCTGTCCTTTTGGAGCAGAGCGTTGTCGTGAAGAGTCCAAACGATATGTTGCGATGAGCAGGCACCGTCGGCCTAAACCTGTGAGTGGACTGGTTTGAGTTCGAAGTGATTCAGATACGTCTCTCTCCATTTTACTGAGCTGTGCGTGGGCGTGACAAGTGGCGTCCACACAGAACGCCCCTTCGTCTGCTAAAAGCGCACCACTACCGCGCAGCAGCTATTTGGAGCCGCTTGCATACCTCCGGTGCTGCTTCTTACACCACTATAATGCCGTTGCAAAACGCAGGCCATCAAACAGCGTCGGTTTGTCTTACCTACGGTATCACATTTTATTCAGGTCTCCCTTGGAAAGGCACGGACGCGCTCGCCTCGTTCTCGCTGCCCCACCCGGCTGAGTATACGCCTGGACGGCCGGCCGCAACAGCAGCACTAGCAGCTACTTGACGAAAGACAGCTCCGGCAGCTCCAGCCCACAGACACTGCCCGGGAGCGCGTGCCGCGCCGCCCACACCGGGCGCCAGCTCGCCACGCGTGCATGGCGGGTCTACTCTATTCGGCGCGTGGTCGCGCAGCCAGCGCCGGGCCGCTAGCCGCAGCCCGGCGCTGGAAGGTGGCGCACGCACCGGGCCGGCGCAGCACGGCCCCGGCCAAAAGCCACCTCCGGATCGGCCACGCAGCTTCGCACGCACGCAGCACTAAATGGGCGTCTAAAAACGGGGACACGGTGCGTGGACGACTAAACGAGCCGTAAAATTCATTTTCGCCAGACGCACGAACAATCACAGCGCGCGCGCCATAATCAGTTTCCGGATTTGCTTACCCATATAATTCGTCTAAACTCTGGGGCAACGCGTCGCCCTCGCCGGCGCACGCGACCTATCACCAAGCGTCTCTCGAGTCATGCGTAACACTACACACGCCTTTCACGGCAATCACGCCCGGCGCAGTCTACGGAGGCGCGCCGATCGGCCAGCCTCACGTACCGGCCCGCTCACGTCGTGCGGTCACAGACGCGGCGCCCTCCCGCGCGACACCGCGCGCACACACAGTCACACCACAGAGGCGAAGCGGCAGAAAGCACGGACTTGTAAAAATCACAGAGAGGTGGGGCCGGCGCGACGGCGGCGGCGGCGGCAGGCGCCGCGCGCTCGGCCGGCCCGCACCGCGCGCGCGCGACAGGTACGGTACCCTGGCGGCGCCCGGGCCGCCCTCACAGCCGGACCGCGGCCGCCACGCGCTCAGTTCAGATACTTGCGGCAGCGCCGCGCGCCGCACGTGCACGGGATCTTGTCCTCCTCGATGGGAAACTTGTAGTCGTAGGTGAGCTCCTCGCCGCGGCTGATCTTGCGCAGCGCGAAGATGATGATGTGTTTCTTGCCGAGGATATCCACCACCCGCGAATAGCAGTTGGGCTGTGGAGTGGTTGGCAAGTCAGGCCACCAGCACACGAGACCCAGACTAAATACACTCGCAGCGTTATTGACGGCACGCTTTAAATACCAGCGTCTCTCGCATGGACTTCTGCTCCCAACCACTAACACAGCTCCTGGCATTACACCACCGGTTCCCTCAGTGCCAGCGGCGGCGACATCTCCGACGCGCTGCCGCGGCCACGGCGACACATTTCTGGTCGACGGGGTAGTTACGAGAAACGTTCTGAACACGACACAAAGGGGCACCCTTTGAATGTGACCAGGATGGGGAAGTTTATTTCCAGATTTTGTGGCCAGCGTAACTCGCTGGAGCGCTGACGTCGCGACCACAAGAGCACTTCGTCTAGCATGTCTCAACAACAGTGAGCGCCGTCTGACTAATAGAAATACATCGACTGTTGCGGTTGGTAGTAATTGCGGCTTTACGGCGCCACGGTTGCAGGGTCATATAACGCCAATAACATATGTCCTAATCAAAGCTAACCGAAAATTTCAAAGTGACCTTTCGTGTGCCGGGAACGATCTGGGTGGTGTATACATAGGGCAGAAGTTAACGCGCGACAGACATTTAAGGAGATGTTCGATGGTCATTGCTGAGTTAACCAGAGAGCGTGAGAGACGGCGCAGTGGAGCCGAAGTACCGCAGACGTTCAACATGCAATGCGGGACAAGAAACGAGCGCATGCCTCACACTAAGCGTTGCATTTTACTGGCGGTACAGGGGCGGTTCATCGCGACACAGAAGGTGGCTTTGGTGGCTAAGCATGTCTGATCCAAATTGGCTGTTTCAACCCTCCCATCACGTCCTACGGATGACATTGGGTTCAATCGACGATTGATTGATTATTGGGGTTTTCGGGCGCGTTGACTGCTGGGGTCATTTTGCGCCCACGTCATCTGAGATGGCTTTGGGGTCAGAATAGACACTGTCAAGCATAGCCTTTTGCGACGACCCCCTGACAACCCCAAATGACCAATTACAGCTCAACGAAACGTTTTCTGTCTTGGCCTGTTGCCTGGGCACCCAAAAATATTTACCAAGCCATGCAATGTCGAACCCGACGGCCTGTGCCAGCCTAATCCTGCCACGCCCATTTACCAGCTGGCCGGCATCAAAGAGACAAATATTGAGGGCTGCGTCCAGAGAGCAAAATTCCCCTAACCTGCCGGCCAGGCCGTCAGGCGTCGACGCCTTGTGAACTGAGCTGCAGGGGAGGCGCTGCAGACTGAATCCAAGACAAAACGGCACACCCTGCTATGACAATACCGGGCCAGGATGCCAATGACGCCTTTGCGTCTAACGCCTTTGATTACAGCTACAGCGTCCATACAGCTTCATTATCCCATTAAGCAGCAATGTATGCTGCCGTGAACGAATGATACTCCGAAGCGCACCTAGCCACGATTCTGACAGGTGGGGCCCACAGTCTGTCCGAGTACTGAAGAAAAAAAAAACAGACGACTGAAGCCACTGACCCCGCTAACCAAGCGGCACGAGCCTTTTGAGCCATTTCTCCTTTCATCACAGCATGGTCGAGTCTGCTCGCCGTTGAAAGGAACCAGGCCGCCCGGAGGCGAGCCCGCCTCCACATCCGGCGGGGCGTGCTCGCCTCGCCGGCAACTTATAACCGGCTCCTTATCAGCCTTACTCAGGCAGCCGACGGGTCCGTGTCACGACACCCGCCGCCTGGGACTGCCCGCCGTGCGGCGAGACCGCCAGTCGTGCGGCGGGACTGCCGGCCGTGCGGCGGGACTGTCGACCGTGCGGCGGGACTATCGGCCGTGCGGCGGGACTGCCAGCCGTCCGGGACTGCCGGCAGTGCGGTGGGAATGGCCGCCGAGCCGTCGCTCGGGCGGGGACGTTGGCTGCCACTCACGTTGCAGGAGTGGTTAATGAAGCGAGCGGCGTTGCCCTTCATCGTGGCGTCCACCACGAAGTCGTCGTCAATCTTGAACATGTAGCAGCCGATGCCACGCGACGAGTAGTAGCGCTCGCGAATGTCGGTTAGGCTGGACCGGATCACCTGTCATAAGAGACGGCAGGGTCAGGCTGGAGCTGGCAGATCCTGCAGAACACCAGTACATCAAAACACTAGATCGGAGCACATTCTTGGAATACGCCAGTTGCTCTGCAGCGGTCGCCACAGGCTCTGGCGCCCGGAGGAGGGCTCCGTGATGGCGGCGCGCATGTGCGTGATATATGGGGCAAGGGCGCGGTTATTCAGCGTCGACTCCACGCAGTCGACTCAGTGCACTGCTGAACGGTGGACTATCAACTGGTCGAAAGCCTGCAGTGGCCAGACGCCTCGAAACATCTGTTGGCATCGATCAGACGGAGGAGTGGCTCCTCTCCTACTGATTAACGAGAGGTTGGGATCGGCTAAGCCGATCGGCGCAGCGCTCATCGAGCGACGAGGCTGAATCAAGCAGAACACAGGATTGTTCCGCGAAAAATGGGCGGGGAGTTGATGCCGTACGATTCACTCCAACCCAGACGCATGGCGGAAACATGGAGAACAAAAACCATTCAGGAGACCGGTGACATGGCTTCCCGAAATTCGACGGTCCTCCATTTTTTTTTTTTGCAAGTTCTCACTGCGTGATACATGGTTTGAACCAGACTAGGCTTCTTCAGCAACAATGTGGACAAAGCCTGCAATAAACAACCGCCGAGAAAAGCCAAAGACGAATCATCGAATTCTCCATCTTGTTGAATTGCAAAGGCATTTTCAGTGCCAAGCTAGAGATTATGTTGAGGGCTATTGTGTAAAAACTAGGCAACAGAACAAGATGAAACGAGAGGAGTCCCTCTCTTTCTGAGCGGACGATACGAGGAAATCCTTCCACTTCCTTCCGCCGTCTTTGCACTAAGTATCCTTCCGCCGAGATAAGCACACAGCCGTCTGTCGGTGCAGTAGCGTGACCGTAACAGTTCGGTCGGCCGAGCCTGACGACCTCAAGAGGACGCGCTCAGGTCTGGCTGGAGGGACGGGGGAGGGCAGGGGGAGGGAGCGGCACGAGCTGAATCGGTCGCCGGGCGGCTGCTGCACGGCAGCGCTAGGTGCCGCCGCTGCCTACAGAACTACCAGCCCCCTGAAAACAAGTCACCTGCGGTGTCGCCACAATGCAGTGTCATTATAGCCTGATGACAGCACAGCTATTTCAGACCGATTATTTCCGATGGCGGTTGGTTTCATTACACGCATGATGCAGACAAGCTTCGGTAGTCATTCAATGGAGTGTCACCTTTATGTTGGCGGCTCACCAGCACAAGCATGTATTTCCAGAGGTGCATCCGATGTAAACCACTAGTTCTGTTTTCTCTAAGGTCAAGCCACCCCCTTAAAAAATACTTCGCTTGTTCCAAAGATTCCGTACGCACCGATCGACAGGTTTTTCGTTGGATTTAATTTAATTACGATGACATCAATTTATAACAGCAGCCACATGCGTTCTATAATGCGGCTGCTTATTTAGAGTCGAAAGCGCATCTCATTATCGTAGGGTCATTCAAATTCAGCCCAATACTCAGCGCGCGTCACATTACACAAGCAATAAATGGTCTTAAGGCTTTCGCTTTGATGTTAAACGCATACGTCCGAAATGTTCGTAACTAAGGGTTGAATTCGTGATGAAACATTTCGTAGTGAATTGTATGACATACAACAGCTTAATTCAATCAAAATGCAGTACTCAAATTTGTATGAATAAATTAATCTGATAGACCAAGGCTTGAATGTCAACTCCTGAACTATCAGCTACCTCTTCCCGTTCCGCTGCCACGTAGAGGAACGACCTTTGATGCATGACTGCCTACGTTTATGAAAATGTCGGACGGGAAAAACAGTCTCGGAAATGCGGGGGGGGGGGACATGAAGGACAGAACAGGGACAGCGTCGACCGTGAGAGGAAGCGACCCCAGTCAGGTTCTCTCGCTCCACCGTTTCCGCTGAGTCGTTGGCGCAGGCCCGCCGACTACAGTGATTGATGCGCCGGAGTCCCGCTCGCGCGAGCGCGTTGGCCTCCTCCGCCGCAGCTGCTCCTGCTCCCAACCAACGCCGCGACGCGACCAGGCGCCCGGGAGGCCACACCTCACACCATTTTGCGACGCCGCTTCCACGATTCAGCAACATGGCGTTGAGAATGCAACGCAACACACACGTCCGTCTTCACAATTCCCGCCTACCGTAAAGCGTTCTTTCAGCATCTTAAGCCTTGCGCTGTAACCTTTTCCAACCTGCCTTCTAGCACGACGACCGCCACAAAACCTATTCGATTACCGCCTAATCTGCTTTGCCGCTGAGGTCTATCGCAAGCTGTTGCCCTTGAATGCCAACTGAAGAGGTGAGCCGTACTGCACGCCGCACTGTGTTTTGTATGGTCAAAGTCGCCAAAGCACACTCTTCTCTTAAAGCTCACCGACATTCTCCGCCACGTTCCACTACGTCAGACAGCCAGTAGTTACGGCGCAGTTGCTCTTTGTAAAGGCTTCGTTCGCGGCCGGCATATATGAAATGGGACGACGCTTTAGAAAACCTGCGTTGTGGGTCTTTAGCTATTATAAGATGCACGTGGTGCCAGTTTCCGACTGCATTTAAAAAATGGTACGAATGAAGACGCATCACCGTGTCGTTTTCGGGCAAACGACCCCATCAAAGCGGGAATCATCACGGAAGTCTGTTGAGACCGGACCGTCCCCAGCAGATGGACTCCGCCGTGTGCGACTACGGCCAGGCCCAGCTCGCACCATCAGCTAGTCAGCACGTGTGGAGCGGCGTCGCTGCGCCGCCGGCGGGCAGGCCGCCGGCGTCGGCTGATCGGCCGCGCCCAGTGACCGGCGCCACTCCGCCCAGCCAGACAAACCCGATTAGCGGCCGACGCCGCGGCCCGGCTCGGTGCCCATCGATGTCACGGTTACGCACAGCAGATACGGCGCGGGCGTCGGAGCGCCCGGTCCGCGCGCTGAGTGGACCACGCACAGGCTCAACGACTCGGCAGGCCGGCAGCCAGCCGCGGCGGCCAGCGGACATGACGGGCCGACGGCCATCTCCAGCGGCCGGCAGTCAGCCGCGGCGGACAGCGGACACGACGGGCCGACGGCCATCTCCAGCGGCCGGCCGTCTTTGCCGCCAGCCACGCCGGCCGTGCGTATCATTAGCGATAGAAGTGCAACAGACGAGAGGACGCCACCTAGGCGCATACATATCCAGATACCCGGCGGCGCGCGCCCGGCAGCCCTCACCGCAACCGGCAGGAGAACCAATGCCGCACTTGGCAACGTACATGATGCCTCCGTCTACAGGCAAGCTGCTGCGCAGCGAACAAGGGCGTTACCATAGTTTGTGAGCCCATTATTATAGTAAGCCATGACCTGCGGGCTTCTGGATTGACGCCACGTCGGGCGGGTTTGGAAATACCAACTCCACTTTTCATTTATCCTTATGCTTTTCAACATCACTAATTTTCCTTTCCACTCCGTCTATGGACATGCGGGCTAGGATATGGTGGATGTATCAACCGTTTATGTTGTGTCACTCAGCGCTCTTTTTCAGATTCAGTCCCAATCTTTTCCTGGGATGGATTTCAGGGATCACGGGCAACGCCAAACAGGCGCTGTTTACGAGCCTTGCCTGCGCTCTCCCTCCCCCATACACACCCCCGATGGCGAAATTCCAGGTCACCGGCAGAATTTGACGTCGAAAGTTTGCCGTACCGCACTACTCAGCACGATTAGGCCCCCCCCCCCCCTGGTGTTACCTGCCATTCAGCGGCGGCCGCCACCACCGGATGCAAGCCGTCCCAGGCAGGTGCAAATAGCGAGCGCTGAAAGCAAACTAACCCAACCACCCCGCAACGAGTGGCTGAATCCGACAACAGGCGGTCTAACCGAGAAACATGGACATCTCGCCCACCTCTCGCCTCTCTCCATCCTCTCACCCGGCCTTCCCCGCCGGTTCCCCTCGTCCCTGGTCTCACCTGGCCAGCGTACTCGATCACCATCTGACCGGCTTCCACTGTGCGCTTGCAGAAGAGGCCGCGGCCCGAGATGCTCGAGCGGTAGACGCCGACCAGGTCCCGGGTGGACTCGCACAGCTGGCGGTAGCGCATGGCCATGGGCAGCTCCAGGCTGCTGCCGCGCCTGCCGCACCGACGGGCCGACCGGGTCAACGTCATGCCGCACACACCCACACCGCCAGATGCTAGCTGACGCGCGGCCGCCCACATGCCGCCCGGCAGACGCACGCCAGTGCAGCAACACGGCAGTTGTACACAATCATAATACGGAAATCAGTTGGTTTAAATGCGCCACCAGGGCTAAGTGCCGCTGACATTTCTCCAGCAGCAGAACACGAAACAACTTACTTGCAAGCGCGTAACGCGACGGTGGATACAACCATGTTCAGATCTCGAAAAAAGCCACGGATTACCATATCGCGCAGTGTCTGGGTGCGGACGGCTGAGGGTGCGGGCGGGGATTACCATATCGTGCAGTGTCCGGGTGCGGGCGGCTGAGGGTGCGGGCGGCTGAGGGTGCGGGCGGCTGAGGCAGCGGGCGGCTGAGGCAGCGGGCGGCTGAGGCAGCGGGCGGCTGAGGGTGCAGGCGACTGAGGCAGCGGGCGGCTGAGGGTGCGGGTGGCTGAGGCAGCGGGCGGCTGAGGGTGCGGGTGGCTGAGGCAGCGGGCGGCTGAGGGTGCGGGTGGCTGAGGCAGCGGGCGGCTGAAGGTGCGGGCGGCTGAGGGTGCGGGCGGCTGAGGCAGCGGGCGGCTGAAGGTGCGGGCGGCTGAGGGTGCGGGCGGCTGAGGGTGCGGGCGGCGCACCTGGACAGCTTGGTGGGCGGCGGCGGCTGGCTGGCGCCGCTCGGCTCCGGCAGCTGCCGGTGCTTGGACGCCAACCACGAGAACATGTCGATCGGCTTGCGCTGCTTGAAGCCCTCGGCGCGCGCGCAGCCGAACGGGTTCTCTCGCAGCGGGCCGAACTCCGGTTTGTGGAACCTGTGACAGGAATGAGGCGCCGTCACACGAGGCTCGGACACACGGTCACACCAGGCGACGTCACACGAGGCTCGGACACACGGTCACACCAGGAGACGTCACAAAACCGCACTTGCCCCGGACATACGGCGACACGAGGCCCGAACATGCGGTCACACGAGGCTACGACACACGGTCACACAAGCCCCGGACACAAGTTCACACGAGGCCCGTTCACACCGTCACACCAGGCCTGAACGGTAGGCAGCGGGCGCCCGCCTGCAGCGGGTAACGCAGGCCGCGCAACCAGGCCGCCAACACTCGATATACGTCAATATATACATAGTCAGTTGATGGATGTCGATAGGCGCACGAGTCCATACCCGACAACCTCGACATCATTTTGGATTTGGCACTGTTCTCTGTCAAAAATCAGCCGTGCAAGCGCCCCAGGGGACTTGACACGCGTCCGGGTGGACGGTTCGATACCCTTCGCTCGGGTGCGGGGTCGATTTGACCCCATGAAATCTCAAATTAAGAAAGCTAGACACCAAATTCACAGTGTGTATTAGCCTGTACGTGAACTCACTTTGGTCAACGTTTGAGGTTCCTAGGTCGTGGCCTTCGGGTCAAATAAGGTTAAACGAGGTTACACTCCATGTCGGCGTCCAAAAAGCCTCCAGAACCCAGGCATCCGTTCTCAGCAAAATGTCACGTGCTCATTTAAGGTCAGTGATCTTGTCTGAACTTTCGGAGGTCATGGTAACCAATGCTGTACAACTGTTTCGAGTTCTGCATTTAAATAAGTGACAAAGATTACACTTGACGGCACGTTCCTAAAACAAAACGTTGAACTCGATCATTATAGTTCAGTGACCTATTCCGCCGTTGTATAAGTCAATGGAAGATGTATATTGCAGTTCCTATTATAAATAAATTTAAAATGAACACCAAAAACTACCCCATACAGTAATAAAATAGGTTGGTTTACTACCCCTACAGCAATAAAATAGATTGGTTTTGACCTTGGTCCGAGCTTCACACCTAGCCCTATCTCCATACTGGGATTTGTTCATTTAACTGTTTTATTGCCTGAGAAAGTATCTAAGAGATGTATAACCTCGCCAAAAACTTCGTTGTAGCATCAGATTGAACGGTTTCCTGGAAGTAAACTCCGCTGAATCCATGGAGTGACTGAACTGCCGTAGGTCAGCGTCCTTACAAGGTACATCTAAATTTTTAACACCAAACGATCCGCTATTCAATTTCTAGCTATCCGAAATTTGGCGCGACTACGCCGCGCCCTTCGGAAACCATTCCAGAAAAACCTTTGGGGGGGGGGGGGACTGACCCGCCACCCGACCTTGTTCAAGGAATATACCACATCTTTTCGGACTTCTTATTCTTTGTTAGAAAGGATGCGTCCGATTTAATCGCTAACACCAGTTAACTCAAAATCCTGAATAATTCAAAATTTCGATTTTAAATGGTCACGCCGAAGGGAGGAATCTCATTGCCCACACCGCTTATCACTATGAGGGTAACACATTTCATTTGCCTTGCCTTTCCAACGTATGTGCTGTGTAATGCTTACACCATGCTGCGCCAAAATGTTTGAGTAGTAAATGCACGAAAGGTTGAAACATTAACAAAAAACGAACATGGCGTAATTATCTCGCGAACTCTGGCGCTCACCCCAGTGTCTCTTTTCGTAACGCAATTTGGCTTTGGGAACGAGAGTACCACATGATCCATGACGCAATGATGCGCGCACAATAATTGTCATCACAACGGTGGTCGTGACAGCAGGGAAGAAGCGTAGTGCTGTTACAAAGCGCAATTCGGGCTATACAATAATTTACTGTCATTGGACGTAACCGGTCCTGAGTTTTCTCTGAAGCATGTGCTACAGCGTGTTCATGTTTCACCAGAGCATTCACTCAGCGAACTCTTCCTGTCCACGCGGGTTTACACAGACCTGGGCCACCCATCGTTACCGTCACACTGCAAGGACAGAACATGATTTGGTTTGGGAGAGGGAGGGGTAGGGGTGTGGCGTGCCGACCGTTTGGTGACATGGCGCCCACGGAAGGGCGGCCGTGTCAGACGGTTCTGCGGAGTGAACCCGACTCGGAGCTGACGGGGAGGGTCTGGCCGCCGCCCACGGAGTGCCGGCCCTCACGTCTCTCCCAGCTCCGATCACATGCTGACAGACCGCGACGACGCCCCGGGGCGGATCGGTCGCCGGCCGCGGCGATGTCGGAAAGCATAATGGAACACTAGTGGAAAAGGAAAATAAATGATGGAACTCTGCATTCCATGCTAGATAGGAAAGCACATTCAATGGCCTTGAAACCAAATTGCGTTTAGGCCTAGTATATGCATTTTCACAGCAGGTTATATACATATTTCGGCAGTTCGTGCGTTGAGGAACTTTACTACCAAGTGTTCCGATCCCATCCTACCGAAAGCTATGACATTATGTCATAATGCTATGACGTCCGAAGGCTGGAGATAAGGAACTCACCGAATAGACATGAAAATGCTTTGCACATACACTAATAGTTGCATTGTCGCCCTGGTTATTGTTTACGCTTATTTCCATGGTTTCATTGTTTCAGCGACAAACGAGTCGTACGGATCAGCCGAGGGCCCGGATCCAAAGAACTGGATAAGCGTAAGATACCTCTCATTCGCGGATCCGCAGAGACGGGCAGGTCGTGCAGGCCACCAAAAACCACCCACATATGCGAGCCACATTGCCGCAGGCGACGACAAAAAGCCTCGGCCGATCGGCCATTTTCAACTCGCTCCCAAATGTTGGTCGCTGTGGCCTACAAAATGATACATTTCTCCCGGAGTGTTATGAAGGTGGAGATCATATTACGTAGTAAAGAAACATTTCGATCATTCATTAAAAACTGCGGGATGATTTGTAATGGGGTCGGCCAGCCTGGTTGTCTCGATTGGGCTCAAAAGCGACGTACGCTTTCCTTCCTTGGGACAGAGGTCCCCCGACAAAAACACATAGACGGGCTGTCGCTTGTGCGGTGGGAGACGCCCGCTGTCAACCAGGCCGGGGCCAAAGATATCTCCGAGCCATCTGTCGTCTCCCCCCCCCCCCCCCCCCACACGCAGCCGTCACGGAGCCGCATGTGGCGGCGCACACCGCGGCCTACAGCACAGCCGTCCGTGCCTACGCGAACGTCACTTACACGCGCGCATAATTCATGCGCGTAGTTCACAACATGGTAAAGCGTTGTTCGCAGTGCTTACGCACGTGAAAACACGACCCCCCAAATAAGTACAAACTAATGCTTGGCCACGAGTAAGTTCGGAGGATGAAATGGTCCTGATGCCGACCAGTTTGAAATGCTGTCGCCTCAGCTGCTCAGCCCTTGAGGCAACCACTGGATGTCGTACCCTGTGGTTTTTAGCAACAAAAAGGTACCATGGTTTTGGTTTAAAATCTCCAAACTAAATTCACGCACGCTTTTTGGTGACAAAAGACATTCCTGCACCCTTGCAATACTAACTAAATGCTAAGTTAACTTAGCCATCCCTCTAATAAATCCACATGGGAAATATGAAACTTGCACCCGTAAAAAACTGCCAAACACGAATGGAACGAGGGCCGAGATGTAAAGGACGCAATGTCCCAACGACAACACCAATACCTTTTGAAGGGGATGATGATGATGATGATTGGGGTTTTAGGGCGCGTCGACTTCTAGGGTCATTTTGCGCCCATAACAGCTAAGTGTTTAGCGTGGTGTGTAAATGGCTGTGAATCCCACATTTCTCAAAAATGAAAACAGCTGTCCGGTGCCAAGCATGCGAGAATCGTCACCAATAAGGTCTGAAAAGGTAAGACCTGACGCATCTCGTCCGAGGTAAAGTGCCCGCTCTTCTCTGAACTGTGGGCAAGAGTGAATAACGTGGCGAACCGTAAGTGGCGCGTCACAGCGAGGACATTTAGGGTGTTCTTCACCGCACAAAAGGTAGCTATGTGTTGCGTGCGTGTGGCCAATTCGTAATCTGCTGAGGGTTACTTCTTCGCGTCTCAACTTACGTGAGCTTGAAGACCATGGACCCAGTGGTGGCTTGATCATCTTTAACTTATTGTTTACAATGGCGTCCCAGCAGCGTTGCCATTTCCCCTTCACAAAGGTCGCGATTGCAGGGCTAAAGTCCCTTGCCGGCAAGGGCAAAGAACGGGTGCAAGGTGCACGCGCTGCCCGTTTTGCGGCCGTTACCAACACGCTCGTTACCTGCGATACCCACATGACTGGGGAGATAATGGGCGGTAGTGCTGATTAAAGCGTGCCTCAATTTGTGCACCGGCCAAGCGCACTCGAGCGCCAGACACGCGTAGCGGATTCGGGGTGTTCATAACCACTAGTGTTAGACCGCGGCGACCAAAGCAAAGCAACCACTAATTGCAACAATTTGTTCGCTGCGATGTGCGTACAGCACATCGACGCTCATCACCTGACAGGTAGCGTGCGTCGTGAAACGACCATCATCACACATTGCACACTGCCAGAGTGCGACCCTCCCCATCGCCCCGCACCCAACGGCCTGCTGGACGGGCGCAGACGCACACAGAACCGCCGGGGATATATACGACACATCACAGGACGCACGTGGCCCGCCCCACATGTCAAGCGCATTTTCCCGCAACTGGTGCCCCACAGGAACCCGATAGCAGATATCCGTTCGTTGGTCATTACGGACTCGACAACCCACGCAGCTGCCCGAGTGGACGCCGAACGCCGATACTGTAGGCTTCTGCGCCGGGCTGCAGCGCTGCGACGGCACGACGTATGCCCCTGATCACCGGTCGTCAGTGCTCGTCAGGTCCACGACCAGAGCGAGCAGTGTCACGACAGGACAGACAGCTGAATCGACAGGACAATTGGCGCTGTCACCCGACCTCAGCCAATCTGGCCGCGTCGTAGGTCACCGAAGCGCGCTGCGGGGCCGGCGTGCTGGCAGCCCTGATCAGTAGCAGGGGTATC